AGTGCAGTAAACAGTAGGTCTTAAAGACCGAACAGTAATGATGGCCATCAGTCAGTAAACAGTAGTGGTTAAGCATGGGAACCGACAGAGATCTCTGTAACAGTAGCAGTAACAGTAAACAGTAGTTGCTAAGGATGCCATAATACATTTCAGAATATAGGACATACATTCAGTCAATTAACAGTAACAGTTTAGAAAGCAGTTCAGTTAAACAGTCAGAAAATATTCACAGTTGAACATATCTTTACACAATTGTTACTCACAGAGTTTGGGCTACAGTATGCTAGAGCGTGTCCCCCAGTCGCCAACCCTACACAGTTCACAGGTTGAACACACACTAAGTTACACAGTTGGGAAATATCATAACTTAATCCCTAATTTGCCTCGGTGTGTTCTACATCTATATCCTCATCAAGATGTCTTAAACTAGGCCTAAGAATGCCTAGGATGGAATGAGAATGTAAAGATGCACTCATAAAACATTTTTAGAATTCTCAGTGAAACAGGGTCCCGCTCGAGCGCAGGTTACCCCGCTCGAGCGGACAGACAAACAAAGGTCCACGCTCGAGCGGCAACTCCCCCGCTCGAGCGTACTGTAAAAGTACTGGATAGGTGAAATTCACGTTCGACGCCCGCTCGAGCGTGTCACCCAATCCTCCGCTCGAGCGTACATTCCTCCGCTCGAGCGGACTGATGAACAGTGCAAAGTACTGGATGCTCGATTTCTCCGCTCGAGCGGCACTTCCCCCGCTCGAGCGGACGACCAAAATCTGGAAATTCCAGATTTGAGCTCCAAGCTTCAAACCAAGTTTTGATGCATAATTTTTGATCCTCTTGGACCCATTTTTCTAGAAAACACTTGTAAACACATGATGTAATATGTTTCAAAGCTTAATTTGTGAAATTAAGGCCCAAGGGTAGTTCAAACAAACTCAATTTGAACCCAATTTTCATGAACATGCTACAAACAAGACATGCATGAATTCAAACCATTTCAAAGCTTCAATTTGATGCTCTAGTGAGCCAATTGTTCCAAAAACAAGATGAAATCATGGTTCTTAACATTAACATGGACATGCATGTGAAAATCTTTGAAGAACAACCTCAATAATGTGAGATATGTACATGCATGCAACAATTTAGCTCTAATTCAACACTTTTGAACCAATTCATGCCTTAACTCTTTAAACTACCATGATCCATGCTAGAAGGAACTTAAACACAACAATGAGAAGGTGAATTCTTTACCTAAGTCTTGAATTTAAGGTGTAGGAGCTCAATTTGACAATTCCCTAGCAATTCCTTCAAGCTTTCTAGCCAAACCCTCAAGATCAAGTCAATTCTCTCACTCTCTCTCTCTCTCTATAACTCCTCCTTGGTCGGTTGAGTGCAAGAAGATGGCTGATGAAATGAGTTGGTTCAAGTGTAATATGAAGATCAAAGTGTTGATATAGTGGGCCACTAAGGATGGCAATATGGTAATTAAGCCAACTCTTGACATTATTTTAATCTAATTTAACCATACCTAATCAGTTTTCAGATAAATATACCATAAAATCGCATAAATTATGATGATCATAAAACTTCGATCGGTTTCGGAGTCGGCCGCCGATAGGGCCTTCAATTTGCAGTTTAAACATAAAAACATGAACATATAATTTACCAAACAAACAGATAAAATGCAATTCAAACAGGTACAGGCAATCAATTCAGTTTCAGATTTCAGTCAGTCAGTTCAGTAATTCAGTCAGTTCAATTATTTTTCATAATCGGTCTCAGTTTAGCAATAATCAGTAATCAATCAGTCATTAATCGGTAAATAGTGTGAGGGTTGTTACAGTAATCTAGTCTTTACAATTTTCATGGCTAAAAATGCACATTCTGTTGTCGCCGTAGAAACTGAAGAAAATGCACCCTTGACCACGAATATTTTGTACGTTCTGCGAGTTCTTTTCCAGCTTTCATATCATTTACACACACACAGAGAGTAAAGTGGAGAAGCGGACTTAAAGTGGAGAAAAGGGCTTAAACAATTAGGTTAATAAGAATTTGGGGACATTTTCAAGCGTGGGACAGGTTACACGTGAGTAGTATTTTTATTTTTTTTATTTAGTTATAACCAAACAATTAAAAAATTTGGGCCCTAATCAGACAAAAAAGACTTTAACATATTAACAAATCAATTCTCAATTATTTTAACATTCCTAAATTTAAAATAAAGTAATTATACTTAAAAAATAAATTATTATTATTATTATTATTTTTATTTTTATTTTTAGTATTTATCAAAACAATAATTAAAATTTTAAATTTTAAAGTAGAAAATTTAGGGGGTGGCGGTTCTTAAATTTTTTTACAAAAACTTTGGGGTGGCGAACCTATATAATTTTAAAATATTTGTAATTTTAATACTATATCTAGGGCTTTTTTTCAAAACTTTGAGGGGACGTTTGCCCCTGCCAATCCCCCCTTCCTCGGTCCATCCCTGATCCTATGTGTTCGTATGAAAACGCATTGAATCATAACCATGTTACATCATATTCAATCAACCATATTGATGATCTTTTGCTATAATGGTGAATAGAGAAATACTGAGAGAGCTAGGACTCCATTGACAGAGGTCTAAAAACTCAGCACCATGTGTGTACACAAAATTTGATGGAGGGTAAACGAAAAATTTGAAAACAATCAATTAAAAATTATAATGAAAGTTGATATATAATACTAAATAAAGGCAAATACGAAGTCATTGTAAAAGATAAGTAAGAAAATAATATAGATAATTATCCTTATCCTTTTAAAAAAAAAAATCACCATAAGAACTGACTCCCATTTTTCAAAGATAAAATAAAATTTAAAGTGTATTTAAAATAAATTTTTAATTAGATAGGATCTTTTACTAATTTATAATACTTATGAGTTTAT